AAAAAAATCCTAACAAGTAATAATGAGAGCAGAGGCACCAGGATGTGTTGATCTAATGAGCATGTTTGATATTCTAAAAAAGAGACCGGTGTATGCGTCGAAGGGCGAAGAAAAGTTCTAGTACCAATTTAAGTATGAAAGCTCCCAATTTACTGTAAATATCGCGGAGAGTTTGGACACCAACACGAAGAGCGTGGTAACGGAGAACATGACAGGTCAACAATTTAGTGGGATGATTTCATTCATGCTGAAAGGGTGAGAGGCCGAGGCGGAGGTGCTAGATGATGCTCTACAGATGGTAACGTAGGTGAAAGGAGCGGGTATGGGTCAGGTTCGTGCGGCGTGGGAGTCTGGGAGAGCGTTGTGGAGACTTCTTTCCCTGGTGGTAGTTGGATTTGGAACAGTGTGTATAATGCCCAAGGAAAGGATGAGGGCACGAAAGCTCTGGAAGGATTGTCAAGTAATAAGGGAAGTAGACAGGATGCTCGGATGAATGAACTGAATGTGCTTGGGAAGAGGCTGTCATATGACTCAGGTGTGGCGGTAAATCAAAACTTAGGTGTAATTGTACCTATTGGTGCTATTGTCTCATCAAAAGTTTCTCATATTGTGGACTAGTTAGTGGCTCCGTGGATGGTGATGAAGTTGAAGCCACACATAATGGATTGTGAGTACACCACATAAAAATGTCAACAAAAGGAAGCTCAAAGGAAGTGATGGATTGCCAATTGACAATAACACATTGGAGATATCAACAACCTCTGAGGTGGAGGACCACCGGGAGCATTGAAAACTCGCTTGGAACTGTAGTGGTATGCTATCAACCACGATAGTTCGCGAGCTCTTGGATCTCCAAGGCGGATTAGGGCAGCCGCTATTTTTCTTCCGGAGTCACATTTAAATAATGAGGGGTTATGTGCTTCTTCAAAAGTTGGATTTTAATTTCATTTTTGTATGGAGAGTGATGATCGCTCTAGCAACCTTGGTTTTATTTTATCAAGAATATAATAAAGCATGGTTGAATTACTTTGGTCATTATTTCATCGATGTGTTGATTAGAAATGGGATGAAGATGATTGGAGGTTGTCTGGATTTTATGGTCACCCGACATGGAGCGAGAAGCACGTGGCTTGGATTGGTATATTGGGGATTTACATAGAAAAAGCTCTCGCCCATGGATTATCATCAGAGATTTTTGTGAAATATTGTTTGCTAGTGAGAAGGAAGGGGAAACATGAGACCAGAAGCTATGATGAATTGGTTTAGAGATTGTGGCCTCGAAGACATGGATTGTTTGGGTGATTCATTCACATGGCAAAGAGGAGTCATTCATGAGAGATTGTATTTTGTTGTTTCTAACACAAAGTGGTCAATAAAATCCCCAAAAGCAACTCTTATGAGTTCTATGTTCACTCGGACCATTGGTCTTTGGTGTTCGATACATGGTACTATGATCTTGTTTTACTTGGGCAGCCAGGTGGAGAAGGCAAGAAGTTTACATCTTGGGAAAGGGAAAAGCAAACCAGTGTTGGCCCTTCTCATGTAGCTAGAGCAAAAGCAGTGCATAAATTAACAATGTGCATCATCTATTCATAACATTGATTAACATTGACCATCTTTCATTCGTGGCCACCTATATGTGAAGAGTGACGTGTATGGTTCCGACGGTGTGCTGCTCGAGATGCTCTGTGGCCTAAGTGTGTTGGACCCGAGCCACACTAGGGAGAAGGGTAACTTGGTTAACTAGGCAAAGCCACTCTCATCTTACTAGAGGAGGCTCAGTCAGCTGATGGACAACCGGCTTGAGGGGCACTACCATGCTTGAGGGGCCTTCCATGCAACTCAATTCACTCCCAAGTGTATGCCAGATGAACCCAAGAGCCGCCTGTCCATAAAGAAAGTGGTAGAGACGACCGAGTAGATCGAGTCGATGAAGAGCAAGTTGAAATCTAGGGAGACTAGATGAGACACTCGTTGATAGCGTGTGCCGATGGAATTCCACGAGGAGTGTCATCGCTAGGACGAACTCTAGGGGCATATATTCATGAGAACCGAGGTGTACATGATATGTAACCATGTAGGTGATATCCACGTGAGAGTTTAAAGGCAAACCAACACCACACCATTGTTTTCTGTTGTCATGATGAAGTTGTGCCGGTCGTGATGATCAATGTAATAGTGTAGCGATATACAGAGATTTTTAGTGATTGGCATACTCATACTCATCCAATGATTTTTCTACCGAGATGTCATGGGCTCTTTCGATCTGTGGCGAGCTCGTATATAATTTGTTGCATACACACAAGTGCTATATTGCTATGATTCTAGGCGTCCGATAAATATTTTGAGTCATGATGCGAATGTGTTTTTGTGTTGTTGCGTGCAATGCTTTTTTATTCCGTGATTTGATTTTCTATGTTGTAAATATTACGATTCATTGCCTATATAGCTTTGTGTTGAGTGTCATGTCAAAAATGTGACTTTTTTCTGCACATCTTTTTATCACACCTCGGGAAAAATATTGCAACGATTTAATCATATATTGTTTGTCAAACTTTGAATCATGTTACGATGCAAAAAAACAACAACAAGAAGAGTCGTGCTATGAATACCTCCTGTATGTTTTTTGTACGATACACCAGATCAAATAATTAGTAAACAACCACTTGGAATGAGTGGTTAGCTATCTCAAAAACAATCAGTAAACAACGATAATGCTAACTGGCGAGCATTCGCTCAAAAGAAACTCCTAGCCAACGCCCTCGCAAATGTTTGATCTACAGTTTTCTTTTAGATGCCTCATCTAATAAGGAATTGCCATGCTAGTTTTAAAAAATTGCCACCCGTCAATAACTAAAATTGCCATGGAAATCATTGTAAATGTCATCCTCCCGGTGAATGTTCGTCAGCTAAGAGAGTCCATAAACAATTGGTGTATGTAACGGAAATACAACGGACATTTGGATTTCGAAACTGCCTTACGTACAATATTTGCCCCATACGATATTGTACGACAAGACACATGCCCATTCCCAACGTTTGGGCCCACTACACCAGAACAGTCTGCTCGTACCTAAAATCGTATGAAGGTTGATCGGGGAGCAATTAGTTAACGAGCGCTCCTTGGGGAGCCCCACAACGATCAGCGCCACTTGGCGCGCTCTCAGTCATTCGCCACGTGTCGCGCTCTGGACGCTCCCTCCGGATTTTTTTTCTATTTTTCTGCACGCGTTTTCGAATTTTTAAAATGGGTTTTTCTGTTTTTTTCGACGTATTGGTTTTTTCCCGGTCTTCCTTAGCTTTTCGATCAAAAAAAATTTTGAAATTTTTTTGCACGAAAATACGTGTTTTCTTTTTTTTTTCTTTCGCGAAAGTCACGATTTTTTTCGCAAGAGGCACGACCGTGCCTTTCGGAAACGAAAAAAGTCGTTTTTTCTTTTTTTTTAATTTCGCGAGAGTCACGGTTTTGCTTCCGCGAGAGGTACGGTTGTGCTTTCGCGAGAGTCACGGCCGTGCCTTTCGGAAAGGAAAAAACAAAAAGTGTTTTTTGTTTTTTTTCTTTCGCGAGAGTCACGGTTTTGCTTCCACAAGAGGCACGGTTGTGCTTTCGTGAGTGTCACGGCCGAGCCTCTCAGAAAGGGAAAAAAATACGTGTTTTCTATTTTTTTTCTTTCGCGAGAGTCATGCTTTTGCTTCCGCGAGAGGTACGGTTTTGCTTTCGCGAGAGTCACGGCCGTACCTCTCGGAAACGAAAAAAAAACGCGTTTTCTGTTTTTTTTCCTTCCACGAGAGTCACGGTTTTGTTTCCACAAAAGGTACGGGTGTGATTTCGCGAGAGGCACGGGCGTGCCTCTTTCGGAAAAGGAAAAAAACCGTGCTCCCGGTTCGATTTTTTCACCCGTTTTTTTCATGAAATAAAAGTTTGTCAAAACCTATCAACATGGGATCTAGTTTTGAAGATCTTGACGCGAGGAATCCAATGATGAAAACGGTTCGAAATTTGAACGCACGGTTTAAAAGATAAAATGTTTTGAATAAACGGATCTATGAAAAAAGGGAAAACTCCTAGGTTGCGACAAGTGGCGCGCTGCATGTGCGCCATTTGTGCGCCACTTGTCGCAACCTAAGAAAGTGGAGTGTTCTTTGCAACGGATGAGACTTGCCTGCTCCCCCATCCGTGCTCCCGCATACGTGGCATGATTTGATTCGAACAAAATTAGGCCCGACCCCATCCCTTAAAATTAGGGAGGAGATGATTAGATTATTAGAAAGAAAAAAGATAAAAGGACAGCAGTAGGATAAAGTGGAAGCACGAATGAAAGCATCGAGAGAGAGCAGGCAAGCCGAATTCCTTTGCAACGAGTATCCCTTAATTAGTGATTTCGGGTTGATCCTACGTATAACAGCGCTCTTTGGATTTAGCGTCCTATACACATGTCGGACCATTGCGACTTGGCAGCCGGCCTGCAAAGCAACTGTGTACTACTGTATTTGTGTTAGCGTACAGCGAGCCACGTGTACCAATTTTCGTACTCGATGCTCAATGCGCCCTCACGGTCCGGCCCCGACAAGGCCGGCCATCAAGCTCGCCAGCCTCTGTCCCGCCTCGCCCTGCCTGACAACGTCAATGTCGCCCCCGACGGAGCACTCCTCGCCCGCTGCCTGCTCGTCGCTGCCGGCGCACCACTGTCCCGGCGTGACGCCGTCGAGCGGTCGCCTGAGCAGCTCCTCGTCTATCCTCTGCAGCAGCGCCTCGTCGCCGTCGTCACCGAAACGGCCGGCGAAGGCCGCGCCGCTGCTCACCACGGCGTCGTACCGCGACCGGTGAGGCGGCGCGGCATCCGGGACGGCGATCCGGAAGGTGTGGTTGACGGTGCTGTTCTTGAAGTGCGCCGAGTTGGCCATGACCGTCTGGAAGTAGAACTCCATGGGGTTCAGGGCGTTGCTGAAGTACATGAGCAGCGTCCTCGGGAGGTTGTCCGGCGCCACCACGCAGTGCTTGACGAAGGCCCGGCTCAGTATCGTCCAGGGAGAACCTTTGAAGAGCTCGAACGCATCAGGCTTCGGACGGTGCCCCGACGAGAAGGAGATCTCGGCGTTGGTGTTCTGCAGGAGATTCTGGTCCAGAACGACCACCGGCGCGGTCTCGGAGTCCATCCTGTGGTCGATGAAGTTGAGGTCCCTCGGCACGGTGGAGAAGGCGTAGAGAAGGTCTGCGCAGCGCACGCCACCATTGGTTTTGTCAGTGACATGAAGAATCATCAATCGGAGCAAGGAAAATGGCGAGACGTGACGGATTGCAGCTCACCGTCCTGAGACACGAGCGGGTAGTCCGAGGCGGCGAGCGTGACGAGCCAGTCCCAGTCGGCGCCAATCCTCATGAGAACGGAGGCGCCGCGGAGCACGGCGGCGACGGCGGACGCGCCGCGGCCGTCGACCGGGCTCCCCTTGCCGACGACGTGCACGTTGCCGTACTCGAGGAACGGCTGCTCCGACCTGACGTAGCCGGCCAGCCGCGCCCGCTCGTACGCGCCCGCGCCAGCGTCCAGGTGCAGCAGGTACCGGTTCCTCGGATGGTACACGGCCTTGAGCAGCCGCGTCATCCTGACGGAGTCGCCGTGCCCGCCGGAGATGTAGTACGCGAGCACCGGCGGGTACCCGGCCCCGCGCCTCGGCACGGTCGCCGGCGGCGCCGTCGACGCCGCGTCGGCGGCGTCCGGGCTGTAGGGGTCGTCGTACCCATACGCCGCATCCCTGAGGAAGGAGCTCGACGCGTAGCCGAGGACCAGCAGGCCGGTGGTGAGCGCGGCTAGCGACGCGAGCCCGGCACACGGGGAGCACGCCAGGAGCCAAGAAGCGCGAGGCATTGCGTGTATTCGATCAGACCCTCTCGCGGCCGTGCGTGTGCCGGTGGAATGGTCACCGGCGGTCCGGTACTAGTAGTTGCCCTCTTCAGCTTCTGGGTGTCAACGCTTGTGTTAGGTTGGGATCGATCATGGAGAGGCAGCACATAAGCACTGACGCCACCGCGAGGTGCCGATAATTAATAAAATTGGACATGGACGGAGAAGATATCTCCTCTTGATTTCTTGTTTTCTATCTGTTCCCTTGGTTTCATGTTCTATATTCTTGTGACATATGGTATGGATTCTTTTTTTTAGGATCATATGGTATGGAAATTAACATGAACTGTATCTGTATGTATACATGTATAACAAAGGAGAGGACGTGCTTCCAAGGAGACGCGAGCCGGCAGGCCGGGGCGGCCATGTCGCCAATCGTCCCAGCATCTCAATCATTGATAGCTGATGCATGGAGGATAGGCATGTCGACGTCTAGCGGCCGGCCGTCGCGCGTGCACGATCAGGGTGTGCTTTGTGGCCGCGAGTGCACCGAAACTACTTTGGGCACGGTAGCCGTTGGAGAAGTGGCAGCGCTTACGGCTCGGGGTAGACATTCCGTGTAAACCGAAAATTCGATTTCCACCTTTCAGTATTTTTTTCTAAATTCGGTTAACAAAATCAAAACCTGAAAATTAGAGCTCCAAATAGCTAACCGAAAATACTGCGTGGGCTTAGGTTTATACTGATATAATGAACATTGAGGTCGACTCCCAAACCCCTGAATGGTAATTTTGAGATGGCGATGAATGCACTCCTAGGCGACTCGCGGGGCAGCTCCCCGCCAGCGACCCTGCGCCCGCCCTCGGCCTTCCCCCGCCGAGCTCGATGGCCTCCTCGCCCCCTCCCTCTTGTTGCCCTCGTCCCTGCCCGTGCAGGGTGGGCCCCTTGATGTGCAGACTAAGCCGCCGACGAGGACCTGGCCTCGGCACGAGCTGTGGCAACTAGGCGTCCGCCGAGAAGCCTGTGATTTGGGAATGGATTGGCGGCGACGGTCGCGGCCGAGTTGGGCCTGTTGAGTATCGTGATGATTAAAAAATATAGCATAGACTAGGAATTATTCTAGCTTGTCTTGTACTCTAAAAAAATAATATATAATGATCAGATGTTCCCGAACTCCCGAAAACAATGTCCCAGGTTGGGATGTACCACCGGCCTTCAGATTATACCAATGGCCCAGGTTGTGTGTTCAGGGACTACATCTTGTGTTCTGGAACTTTTGCAGAATATGTGATGAAATGTTGTTGGCCCCTGTGTATTTTTCATTCCACACTTCTGTGCCTACTTAGCAAAAATTGCATATGCATAAGCCACAATGTTTACAACTTAAAAAGTTTAGGAAAAACACAACCGTGGAAGTTCGAAATATGAAACTGCATGACGTTCAGATAAAGAAAAAAAATGACTTTTCTTCATTGAAAACGTTACCTGACATGCTCCGCCAGATGATTGTAGTGTTCTGTAGAAAACTTGGACAAAAATAATGAAATATGTTTGCAAACCGAGTCCTATTTTAAAAAATGCATGCAAGATGTACAAATAAAAAAACTATGAGCAGAGTGATTTTGTTGTGTTTAATTTCAGCTAAAATGAGAAAGAAAATTTCCAATCACTCTCTCTCTAAAGTTGACGCGAGAAGTTCAAATATAAAAAACATAAGTTCATGTATAGTAAAAGTGGTGCAATTAAAATTTTCAAAGTGAAAGTATACATTCTAAAAATTGGAGAGCTCGTGAAAACAAAAACCGCCATCCGAAAAACACCACCACCAACTCAAAAAAGCAGCTTTTATGGCTACAAGCACACGCGCACAAACACACATATTTATAATAAAATGATTTTATTTGTTAAAAAACCCCTAGAAGTTCAAATCTAAAAAACAAAGCAGTTCGGTGGTAAAAAAATTCAGATTTTCCTCATTATTAGAGAATGAAAACAAGAAGTTCAATTTTTAAAAACGGAGTAATACAAAATTCATAAAAAAAGGATGTTCACCATTTGTAGTAAAAAATCTAGAAGTTCATATTTAAATTACAGACCAGTTGAATATTTATTACAATAAATGATTTTTTTTGCTACTAGAAGAAATAAACCAAGAAGTCCAAATTATAAAATAAGAACAGTTCGATATTTATAAACTAAATTATAGTTTTCCTTTTAACTAAAAAGATAAAACCAAAAAGTTCGCTATAAAAAATAACGGAGTACATTGGCGTACACGGAAACTCAAATTCTTTTTGTTTCTAGGTAAACTAAAAGTAGGAAGTTCAATTTTTTTTGTTTTATGTTTATTTTAAAACCATATTTTTTAAGAATAAACTAAGAAGTTCAACTCAAAATAACACAGAAGTTTGAAGTCTATAAAAAACTAAGATTTTTTCTCGTACTAAAGAATCAAATGAAGAAGTTCAAATTAAAATACAACAAAGAACTAAAAAATGATTAAAAAGAATTTCCTATTTTTCTTTTTAAAAAAACTACAAGTTCAAACTAAAATAAAGTGATTCCACGTTTATTAAAAAGAATCTAGGATTCAAAATTTTCCTGTTTCTAATGTATAAACCAAGAAGTTCGATTTGAAATGACAAAGAAGTTTGACATTTACTAAAACAACTCCAAATTTTCCCATTTCTAGAAATACACAAAGAGGTTAAAAAAATGGAAAAAAGTGGGTAGTTTGATGTCTATAAAAAATCAATTTTTTTGTTGCTAAAGGGTAGCGTCATTTTTGGCATTTTAAGATTTTTTTTGAAGCAGATCGATTTTAAAAAGAAAATCAAGAATTTCAAATTTAAAAAACGGAGTAGTTTGATGTATACAAAAAAGTGAAATTTTCCAGTTTCTATGCAAAATTGAAGTATGAAGTTTAATTTTTAAGAAGTTGTACGATGTTTATATAGAAATCATTTTTTATTCGCAAAAGAATAAAACTAAGAAGTTCAAATTTAAAAGGCCAAGAAGTTCATAGATTAGAAAAACTTAGGATTTACATGCTCAATTTTGATGAGTCACTAATGCAGGATGCTGATAAGGCAACACTACAATCAGAGACCCTTTGACGAAACTGTGTGCAATACATTAATCGCAAACAATGATGTAAAAAACGTCAAAAAAGATGCAAAACGTTTGTGATGAATGATGCATCAAACACGGTTCAGATTTTAATTGCGTGTGCGATGAGGGGCATACGGTTGATCTGTACGAACTGTTTGCGATGAGATAGAACATCAGAAATGGGCAACCAGATCAAGGTGTGTGCGATATACGACATACAGTTCACTTCGATGAACCGTTTGCGATGATTGAGGTGAACACAAGCGATTCGGCGTAACAATATGTGTGTGATACCCAGCAAACAGGTCGGTAATCAGAATTGTGTGCGACCATTATAGACTGCGCTCCAAACACCCGAAGCAGTGCGACAACTGGATTACATGTGAACACATCAAGACTTTCAGCAGTTGGTTGGAAACACGTCTCAGAGGTGACAACACTGTTTGTGATGAGTTGTACTTGTTGTCCAGGGGACCATCTTTGACTGTATTGACTTACAAAGGATATGAGATAAATGGGAATACATTTTACACGATCGCCCAAGATCAAAAGAGCACCAACCAAAACAGCGGTGTCCGCTTTGATGCAGCAACCGAGAGCGGAAAGGACACATATTATGGTTACATAGTGGACATATGGGAACTTGACTACGGACCTGATTTTAAGGTCCCTTTGTTTAAGTGCAAATGGATCAATCTGTTAGGCGGCGGGGTACAGGTAGACCCACAGTACGGAATGACAACAGTGGATCTGAAAAATCTTGGGTACACTGACGAGCCGTTCGTCCTAGCCAATGATGTGGCACACATTATCTATGTGAAGGACATGTCTACCAAACCGAGAAAAAGAAAAGATAAGGAAGCGAATACATCATACGATGAGCCAAAGCGCCACATAGTTCTTTCAGGAAATAGGGACATCCTGGGAGTGGACGACAAGACAGACATGTCTGAAGATTATGAAAAGTTTCATGAAATTCCTCCCTTTAATGTCAAGGCTGACCCAAGCATCCTGATAAACAATGAAGATTATCCATGGTTACGGCGCAATAAGCAAATGACACAAGCGAAGAAAAAGTGAAGACTTTCTCCCGCAACTATTATGATGATACCATGCCAACTTTGTAACACACGAACATGCTACCATTGTCCGTTTTGTACATGCACATGCTATGTGGGTGAAATTATGATACCATCCCAACTTTCAACCTTTTCAGAGTTCATTTGAAATGCTTTCATGTCTTATGGTTCAAGGTTTTATGTGTTGAGGCAAATGGATCAATATGTCAGGAGGCGGGGTACAGGTAGACCCACAGTACGGTATGACAACAGTGGATCTAAACAATCTTGGGTACACAGACGAACCATTCGTCCTAGCCAATGATGTGGCGCAGTTATTGTCCGGAACTTTGATACTTCGAAAGTGATTGTCCATTTTGTACACGAAGTGCATCAAGTTTTCTCTATAAGCGCATCTATTCTCATTTTTTTAGTAAGTTAATCACAAACTTGTGATTCAAACAATTTTCAAAGAATTTCAAATTTTAACTATTCAAATTTGAAAACTAATGGCACTAACAGAAAGTTTATAATTTTTCTAAAACTAATGGCACTAACATTAAGTTTATAATTTTGCTAACCTAAAAGCAAACAGAATTAAAAATTAAAGCAAAAAACAAAAGAAAATAAATAATGCAAAAAACAAATCAAAAAAACAGGAAAAACTATTTTTATAGTAAAGTTAATCACAAAATAAAATAAATAAAGCAACAAAGAAAACAAAAAAACTAAAAAAGTGTTTTCAAATTTGAAAACTAATGGCACTAACAGAAAGTTTAATTTTTCTAAAACTAATGGCACTAACAGAAACTTTATAATTTTGCTAACCTAAAAGCAAACAGAATTAAAAATTAA